TCGCTATAGTAGTTTGCTTAGTAGATCAATCAACCAATATACTTATGCTATAATCAATCACAGTTTTATTTAATCTTGACAAAATCGGTTAAACAATCATATGTAGAAGATACCCAAAAAAATACTAACGTACGTAATATATTGGTTGCGTTTTGTTGACGGGCTTGTACATGTCTTTTTTTCTTAAACATCATTAAGATTGTCGAGAGCACATAACTTTCACTAATTGGACATTCAATACCTTCAAACCTAACCATTAATGTAACAAATCTTAGAATTTGCAGTATGATTTGAAACTTAAGCCCCCCCCCCCCAATCATATCTCTTTAATTTTGGGATTGGTCCATTCCATCAACCACCAACAGAAAATGAATGTCAGTGCAAAATACTTATGAAATAGGTTGGAAAAACTTCGTCGTACGTTAGATGAATCATGCAAAAATGGTCCTAATTTGGTTACAAGCCAAAATGGAGATGGTCATAAACTACGTGTCGTGTGTTCGTTACAACTGCTTTATTGGTTCGGTTTTTTTCGTCACTATACAACTATTTATTACCTACAGTGAAACCTAACTAGTTGTTGTTTTTGTTCGTTTATCCACTTGTCTTTTTTCTAACGGTAACTATATAATAAACCTAAGAAATGAGGCTGACCTAAATATATATAGTAGCGTAGTATAGATTTACACGAAGGGAATAAAAGGGAATATCCCCAAGGCAAAAATATATTTAAATTTCCTCCCTACCAAACTTTCAACTTACCTTTTTTCAGTGCTAACAACATACTCCCATTAAATTCGGAATGTAATTTTGGGAGGAGGAAGAGAAAAGTGAATTTTCTTTTTGTGTGATTATAAGAAAATAAATGTGGCCCTATTCCTTCTTATCAATGACACTAACTGTTGACGGTAGCGTTGCATGGTCTCAAAGTTAACATTTATTTGTTTCATTTTGGTTTGAAAGAATACTCGTAGAATTACATGTGATTTCTTCCCCAATTAATTTAAATATATCCTCCGATATATAGTTTGACTTAATTAAAGCTTAGTAGTAAAACATGATGAGGAGTATGAATATACTAATTAGCATGATGTTTCAAAACAAAAATTGGAAAACCAAAATTATACTAGATAGTATTATACTATTACTATATATAGTATCATATTACCATATCATTTCACATTTAATCAATTGAACTGATAAATAAAAGAAACCCATAACTTTATTTAAAATTTTACGTACTTTGAACAAAATAAAAACATAATGAAAATTGCTTGTCAATTCCTTTTATTATAAAATGGAGGAATCGCTTAAATTTTTTTTATTAACTGATGTCTAAGAGCATGATTATAGGTAGTAAATATGATTTGAGTAATATATAAATTTTATAATATTAATTGTATTGGAATTGATGAACAGAGAGAAAAAGAAGAGAGATATATTATATTAATCCACTAAATATGAGTAATATAAATTTTATATTTAGAAACCCAAAAATAGTTTGGGTAAATATAAAAATTTTATAATATTAAAAATCTCTTATATTTACCCTTATTTATCATCCATAATCATGTCATAAAGGAATCACAACGGAGTAAATAAGTCACGGGTACTACTAACAATAATCAATGATTTAGTAAAATTCCTTAAGATAGTAACCGACCAAACCCGTTGGTTATAATTGATTCGGTTGCTAGTATATATAGAGAGGATGGTTCGAGTGGTTCCTTTGAAAAATTATCGAGTATTCTCTTTCTCTTTTTTTTTTGTTGGGCAAAAAAAAAAAAAAAGATTATCGAGTATTCTCTTTCTCTATCTCTCACTTAACTTCTTCATCTTCTTTCGTAATACGGTGATGGATGAACAACGCAGGACGAAGCAACCTAAGACCAACCCCATTGTTGCTTCCTCTTCTTCTGAAGGTAACTTTTCAATGTTTGC